GCTATATTTTTAGTGCAACCAGCAGTGATAAATTTATTTGTTTAATACGTGTGCGACAGCGTGTTAACAATGTTTGTTGAATAACCTCATCAAGAGGAAGGTGGGTAATGGTGATAAGACATTTTTTTTGAAAAGGTTTATGGTGCGGTGTTTTACCTCTTAAAGAGATTTTCCTAAATCACTATGCTCTTGAATCCAGAAAAGATTGCTTAATTCTCGATAGGAGGCAAATCAGTGATGTTGGGGTGGATTTTGATTCGATGTGGAGGTGGGATTGGTTTAGACAACTTAGACGTGGCAAGGAAAGCTCTCAACTATCAGCTTTGGCTGATTTGCTAAAGGATGTTCATTTCTCTAATGGTTACGATACTTGGATCTGGACAGGAGACTCAAAGGGGCTTTTTCGGTAAAAGATGTGCGTGAGTTCATTAGTAGATCGAGTGGGGTGACGGTCTCTTGATTTCATTGGGTGAAGTGGATTCCTCTTAAGATTAATTCATTTGTTTGACGCCTATTTCAAAACAGAATTCCAGTTTTTCGGAAGTTGGCTTCGAGAGGGATTAATATCTCTTCTAGTTTGTGCCTGTTATGCAAGTCCATGGGTAAAAGTGTTGATCACATTTTCTTTTCCCGTGGGTTTTCTAGTAAATTATGGCACTAGCTTGTGAAGTGGTCTTCGATTTTCATTGCTCCTCCTTTTTGTTCGGACTTGAAAGATATGATCAATTGTGTGAACAGGCGGAGAAATCTTCACAATCTTGTTTTGTCTCTTGCCTACATCATTCTTTGGTTTATTTGGAAGGCACATAATGGAGTTGTTTTGAGAAACGAATGACGAGCGGTCATGGTCAATGCGGATGACATTTATGTGAACACCTTTAATTGGATAAAACTTAGGTCCAAATTATGTCTCCTAATTCAAACTTACGTTTTACTCGAGCGTCTTCCTAAAGTTGTCTTCTTTTTTGCTAATATATTTATCTTTAAAAAATTGCTTTTAGGAGCGGAGCTAATTGTTGTTATTGGGCTAGTCTGTGGTAGGTAAGGGCCTGCTACGGCGGTATGGGCCGATTCAGTCCACACTTGTAAATCGATACTGACGACTGATGAGTGATGTCGTCGTGGTATCTTCTGATTGAAATGGAGCCGTTGTGTGTGCATAACGTGTGCATCTGATTACGTCTCCTACTTCTCGCAAACCCCTGCGGCAAAAAGAGCGCGAAACTCCACTAACGATGCCGGAGCTTCCAGAGGTGGAAGCTGCTCGAAGAGCCATTGAAGAAAACTGTCTCGGAAAGAAGATTAAACGGTCGGTTGTTGCCGATGATGCCAAAGTCATCGACGGCATTTCACCTTCTGACTTTGAAGCCTCTCTCACCGGAAAGACAATCGTCGCCGCACACCGTAAAGGGAAGAATATGTGGATCCAGCTCGATTCTCCTCCTTTTCCGTCCTTCCAGTTTGGTAAGTATATTTCATCTACCTAATTTACGAACCCTAGAAATGATAACTAATTTTTTGTTTCATTTCTTAACATTTAATTCATACTATCATAAGAGCATTGGTTTCTCTGTTGATAACGAAGATTCATATTAACAAATTGTAAGCACTCAGTGATCCGCCGGTGTGAATAGACGGCTGTCGATACAAAAAATATTACCGATTTCCGGCATTATGCTCTTATACACTAATACACAATGCATATCTATCAGACATGATAAACACCATTAGAGTGTTTAATGCTTACATTTTTGTTGTTCTGCAATTCATATTCATCGGTGATTGTGTTTCAGGAATGGCTGGTGCCATATATATCAAAGGCGTTGCTGTTACAAAGTATAAAAGGTAAGCAAATTTTTTTTTTTAGAAACTAGCAGTTCTTAAAGACTTAAAAGATTCTCTGAACAAAAACATGTAAATGATATGATGTTTTGGAACAATTATAATCTCTACTAAATACAAATCAGCAAAATAACTTTTTGCTAGATGACTGAGATTTTGTTCCAAGTATAATGCTTGACGCCATTGTTGATACCTAATTTGGTTTATTGTCTACAGGTCTGCAGTCAATGATGATGATGAATGGCCTTCAAAATATTCCAAGTTATTTATAGAAGTAAAGATCCAGTACTACCTCTTCATATGAACATGTTACATTACATGCATATTTAATTCATGATGTTGATCTTTGCTCCTCTTCTACTCTTGTTTTAATTTATAAAACCAGCTAGATGATGGTTTGGAGCTATCTTTCACTGACAAGAGGAGATTTGCAAAAGTCCGCTTACTTCAAAATGTATGGCGATACTAGTCACACAACACATTCCATGCTTCTTTTTCACTTTTATGAATTATGGGAGAGATTATTAAACATGGTTGTGATGATATTTACATAACAGCCTGCTTCTGCACCCCCAATATCTGAACTTGGTCCCGATGCACTATTGGAGCCAATGACAGAAGAGGAGCTCTTTAAATCACTAAGCAAGAAGAAGATTGGCATCAAGGCTCTCATACTTGATCAGGTTGATATTTGTCATCAATTAAATCATGTATTTCTTGTATTCATGTATTCACTGATTGAAGGTATGTATGCATAATGGCAGAGCTTTATCTCGGGTGTTGGTAATTGGATTGCAGATGAAGTGCTATACCAGGTTTCATTATTTGCTCTTTACAATCTCTATATTGAGCAAAATATATACTGTTTTCATGATAATCGGTTTATTTTTCAGGCGAGAATCCATCCACTACAGAGTGCTGCCACCATTTCAAAAGAACAGTGTGGAGCATTGCACAAATCCCTCAAAGAGGTGCGTAAACACGAGTTTTCACTTTATATCAAATGTGTGAACCGATCTTGGAGGATAATACTTGTGTAGGTTATTCGGCATTCGGTCAAAGTCAATGCCGATAGCAGTCGTTTTCCTGTTGATTGGTTGTTTCATTCTAGATGGGGCAAAAAACCTGGGAATCTAAATGGTATGATGCTTTTTTCATTAATGTAACAATTCTTGACAAAAACTTGTTATACGTATACAGGTGATTGAAGGAGCTGTTGAAGTTGGGGCTGATAGTAGTCAGTTTCCTAGTAACTGGATTTTCCATAACCGAGAAAAGAAGCCTGGGAAGGCTTTTGTTGATGGTTTGGCCATTGGCTGTTTTACTGTTTTTTTTTTTTTTTTTTTTTTTCCTGTTGCCATAATGAAAGCTTATATGTTTTACATAATTTATGGCAGGAAAGAAGATTGAGTATATTAGTGCTGGAGGCAGGGTATGTTTTTATAGTTTTGGTCTTTTATTCAATGTTGTTATGGTTGAGTTTTTTAGGAGGATATGTTTGGTTTTTTGTGTGTGTGTTAGACTAGTGCATATGTACCTGAGTTGCAAAAGCTAAGTGGAGAGCAAGCAGGTAAAGAAGTGGTGCAAGGAAAGAATAAGTCTAGTAAAAAGAGCAGAGATGAAAGTGAGGATGAAGAAAATGTGAAGAATGTGAAAGGGAAAGGTGGGAAGAAAAGAAGTGAAAGTGGAGGTAAGAAGAAGACTCCTGTGAAACGCAAGTCCAGTAGTAGTGATAATGATGATGATGGTGATGAGGAAGAGGAGGAGAAAGATGAAGTGGAGGAAACAAATGATGATAAACGTGCTAAGGAAAAGAAGCAAAAGGGGGGAAAGGCTGGAAATAAGAAGCCTCCTGCAAAGAAAAAGTCACCAGAGAGTGGTGATGAGTTTGAGGAGGAAGAAGAAGAGAAAAAGGTTCAAGTGAAGGGAAAAAAGGGGGTAGCTAAGAAAGTGCCGACAGGTAGGCAGGCCAAGAAGAGGGTAAAATAGTCTTTTGATTGACAGTTTGGGTTTCTAGTTTTTGAACCTGTGTTTTTGTAACCATTGTTTTTGCAGCCAACTAACCACTTGTAACCTTCTTTTATGTAATTCTGGCTGTTTGTTGAAAGAGGTTGTTGCTGTACTAATCTCTGTTTTGGATATGTAGGTAGAAATGCATCTCTTACAACGCTGTTTAAACTTGAATGGAATTTGAAATTATGAACTGAGTTTAGCAAAACCCAAATAGTTAAAAACTTAAAATACACTGGGGCTGTTTAAATTTTTTCATGTTTTGATGGAAAGAAAATGAAAAAGAATGGTATTTTGGTATGTTTCAAAAGATTTTTAAAATTCATATAATGAAAGGATTGATGTTTAAGAGATTTTTAGGAATCTTATATCATATATCAATTATTTACTTGATTAATCATTCAAGGTGTTTCTAGTTTCATTGCATTCTGACTAGCTGTATTGTCATAAAAGTTTCGAGGATGTTTTTTTAGTTTTTACTATATATTGTTAAATTCAAACAGATTTTTTCTTTATGCCATAAATATCCCATTGTCCCCCACATGTAAATAGCTAGAACAAATTAGTTACCTGTTCCTTTCATTCCAATGCTCTTCAAGTCGTAAATAGTTGACACTTGTCTGCTTTGCAATCAGACATTACATATATGATAAATGTATATACAACACAGATGAGTGTTTCCATGGCAGTGAAAGAAGGTTTATAATTACATATATTGAGTAACTATGAGGTGAATGATGGTAAACTTACAATGGTATCATAATCAAAGGAAGTATCTCAGAGCATCAATCACTTTCTCAGGCCTGAAACAAAGTTAATAAATTGTGAGATGTGAATTAGAATTATTATTAATTTATTATTATGAGTTTATGATGAAACAGAACAAGGTACCAGTCTTCTTGAGGCATATGACCAGCCCCTTCTATTAACTTCACAGTCACTGCAGATGGGTTTCCTTTTTTGAACTCCTCTGCAATTGACTGAGGAAGATACTTGTCCGATATCCCCCATGCAACTAATATTGGTGTATCCCACCTGACACCACACCACGTATCCAAATTTTATTAATTTCAAAATACATGATTCTAATATCCATCTTCAAATTAAAAATAACCATAATTTTGTAAAAAACATTTATACCTCCCGGATGCAAACCCATCAGCTATCTGGCCTGAAGTCCCTTTAAAGTTTGCTCTTTTAGTAGCTTCAAGCAAAGCTATATATTTCAAATACACATAATCAGTCTCGCATTTTCATTTTGACTCGCTACAGAAACAATGATTTTGATTTACTTTTAGTCATTGGATTAATTCAAGAACAGAGAGAAGAGGAGTTTACAAACCAAATCCAGGTCCACTGCTTTTCAGATATGGTAGTCGATAAACATCAGCCTTTTCCACCTTCAGGACATAGCTGTTGTCATAACATCAGCATTCATAAGAACACAGCATTTAGGAAATTAAATAATTCCTTTAAAAATAGTGATCAAAGTATTATGTGAGATGTAAATCACATTCACAGTAAATTAATGCACAATTCGATACGTACGCGCTACCTGCTTCAATAAATCGCTCAGCCATTATAGCATTTTGGCAAGTGAATTCACCAAGCAGTGGAATTCTGTTAATAAAGGAGGAGAGATCATAAACAAATTAATTTCTTTTATATTATTTACAGGGAATAAATGACATTAAAAATGTGAATCTCATGCTTGTTATATTTATGGTAACAAAAAATCAAATATTTGTTGCAGGATTTGAACCTGAGCTGTTGAAATAGCCCTGGGACAGGAGATGAAGCTGTCAAAGGAGTGTTCATTATTACAAGTTTGGATATTCTGCTTGGATTTTTTAAAGCCCAAGTTAATCCATAAGAACCTACAAGAAATCCCTACAATAAGAGTCAACAAACCTTAGATATATGATTTTCATATAAACTAATACACACATAAGGAGTCCAATTATTATACAAATAAATAAAATTGGGAATTAGGTCAAACCTGAACCACTAGTGAGAAAGGAGATTTGACCTCCAAGACATCAAGCAATTTATCCAGTTGTTCATGGTACTCTTTTTCTGTCAACAATAACTTGGTTAGATTATTTTAGGGAATTTAACTTTATATAGCTTGACATAAAAATAGAGTAAATATAAGTTCATATATTCATTTTCCACCATTGATATTACAAACCAGTGTAGTCAAAGCCATATCCTGGTTGTGGCTTGTCACTGAAACCAAATCCTATCCAATCAGGTGCGAAACAGTGGAACCCAGCCTCAGCCAACTAAACATAAGTATGAAGAAGATTAAAAATAACTTAAAAACAGGTTTATGCAATTCATATTACTCATTGATTCAGGAATCATCTTCAAAACATGATTTATGTAGAAAAATGATGATAAAAAACCTGAGACATCACAACTCGATAGCTGTAAGACTGTGTTGGAGCACCATGGAGGAAAACAACAGTTCCACGTGGACCAAGCCTGGCATCAGATGATCCTGCAAGGTCCAAAATTGAAATTCCATGAAAAAGTAAGAGCTAACAGATGTTAGTTTTTGAGTCTGTGTGTGTGCTTTGTTGAAGTTTTTGTACCTGTTTCTCTGACAAACCATCTAAAGCCTCCAGATTTGATGTAAGAACCATATTCCCTTCCCTTATCTTCTATTCTCTATACATTCAAATCACAGATGTTTAACAGATTTTGCAGCATTGTTGAAGAAAAACTTCAGTTGTAACATATCAAGGGGGTGTTTGACTTAGCTTTTTAGAGGCCAAAAGTCTTTTTTGGAAAAGTTGCAAAAAGTCAGGTTTTCCTAACTTTTCCAAAAAGTTGATTTTCCTTCTATCCAAAATCCAAAAGTAGCTTTTAAAAGTCTTTTGTCAAACATCTTTTCCTAAAAGGACTTTTGGCCTCTCAAAAGCTAAGCCAAACACCCCCCAATTGTGAATGGAAGCAACTCAATGCTAATTATGTTGATTGAATTAACCACTAACATTTGTTACAAATCATCTGGGCTTTTGCGATTGCACTGCAGTATACTTGTATATTCTTCCAAGGATTTCTTTAAATCCTCAATAAAAACAATATCCTAATCTAGTTTATATGCAACGTCAGAGTAAGATGATTTGATAACTCAATCCCATTATTTACTTAAAATTGACCTAAACTCGCAATGTAAAGAGCATTTACTCAACAACAACAACTAAAAAGTAATTCAATCAACCCTAAAATAGTAAGAATTGAAGTCTGATTTCCGAATAATTGAAGAACATATGTGGAAATAAACTTAAGTAATTGGAAATACTTACGTAGAGCATCTGACCGACGTTGCCGTCCTCGGCCGGATTTTCAGGAAGTTGAATTGCGCTTCGGCTTGACGGATTATCAGTGACGAAACCAAAAGGATTAAACGACGGGTTTTCATCGTCCTTTTCTGAAGCTTTTACGACAAATGTCCGTCTGAGTGATAGTCCTTTCCTAGTGTTTCTTATGCTTGTTGCGGAGGCGGAGGCGGCGATGGTGTGATTGTTGACCGTGGATGAAGAGTATGAGGTCGGAAGTTTGAGCGGAGGAGAGGGGAGAGAGAAAGCCATAACCACCCGATACCACCAGCTGATACTTTTAGCAGCTTCTGCTTCTGTGAAGCTAACTGATCACGCGCGCCTACGTACATACTTCTTAGAATTTCAATTTCTTTTAAAACCTTTAAATCCTTTCTAAAACAAATTTCGGTATATTTTGTTATATTAGAGTTCTGATTTATCAATCAAATATTATACAACTTGATAATCAGGATATAAAAAACATTACTAATGCATAAATTACAACTAACTGCATAAATGAATCGAAGTAAAAACATACAACTTTGTCTTATAAATTATTGAGCGATTTTTTTAAAAAGAAATCAATGATGCTTTGTGATAGTTAAAAAAAACATTTCGTAATACAATAACTGATATTTTGATCATGTTAATGATTATATCCTAAAACAGTTATATCATATTATATATAGTTGACTGCTCTATATAACACGATATACCTATTTTAAAATATAATCACTAATATAAGTCATATTAAAATATAAGTCATATTACCAAATATTTTTTTTTAAACCATCACAAAAAAATACATTAATTTTATTAACATTACCACAAACTAAACCATTAATTTATAAAGTTATTCATATATTGGGAAATAATTACTTTATATTTGTGAAAGCAAATCCTGTAAAGTAATTATCTATATTATACAAATATTTTTTTTTCAAAAAACCTATTATTTTGTGAAATCGATTTTGTAATAAAGCTATAGATAAAAAAATATCATAAAATATACTTTTTTTCATAAGACTTATTGTACAAATCATCAACTAATTTATGATAATTTTTTTTTATAAAAATATCATTTCCTAGTACACACTTAGGCCTCACAATGGAGTAGATTATTACTATGATCCGGTCAAAATCCGTAATAGATTGCGGTTTGGATCTTAATATTTTATTTGTTTACCTAGTTACGACATATACCTATTAAATTTTTATTACGTGGATTGAGTATTATCATTAATGATTTGCTCCATTTTTCACATGTCCTATTTAGTCTATCTATGTAAATTATATATAAGTGTCTTTTATTTAAACAAACAAAATTATGACTGTTTGATTTTTTCCATTCTTAGATTTTTTTAGAACAAATACACACTCCTTATAAATTATATTCCTAAATTATTTATTTTGTCTTTAATAAAACTTAAACCTTAGATGTTGAACGTTTTTTCACCAACACTTGATACCGCTAGACCATAAACATTTTGGTCCTTATTAGTTTCACTATATCATACATTTTAGTTGTGCTTCGTTGAGTTCCTACCCTTAGTATATCATACATTTTAGTTGTGCTTCGAGTTCCCTACCCTTGGTAGATCATACATTTTAGTTGTGCTTCGTTGAGTTCCCTACCCTTACTTTCAAGAACCAAAAATAACTAGGTCCTTTATCACCCTTCTAATTTTCTACAATAATTCGAAAATATTGATTTCTCTTACTCTTTTTTCGAACACACATTATATGACTCATCTTTACATCTCGTGGTAAATCTACTTTTGTTTTCTAATTATATTAACAATATTGTAAATCACAAGATGGATGCTAAATATGTGTAAATAGATGGTACTGAAAGCGTTGTAAAGATCGATCGATTTGTTGTAGTATTTAATTCTAAGTACAAAATAAGCTTCATTGTTCTCTTGTTACTTTTTATTATATTGGCTTTTGAGAATGTATTTAAGTTTTATGTGGTAATATTTTATGAATTAATGGATTAGACTTTATGACATATATAATAATTATGTAATTTATAATATTATAAATAAGAATAATTAATAGGTTGGGTATCCGTTGATTCCTTGGATGGGATATGAGTTTGTTTATTTAAAAACGTTATCCTTAACGTGTCCATTGCCAGGTTTATATAAACTGCCCACTTTGATTATTTTGATGATTATATCTTATTTTAATATTTTATCTAAGTTATTATCTAATTATTTAATTAATTAGTTGAAAAATGGGCCTGAACAGGCAGAAGAGTGTTTGTTAGGGTAAAAGTAACGAATCCGATTTTGACACAAACCACCCTCGCGACTTCTCTCGCCTCTCCCCCGATTCCGCCGGTGTACCCTTCCTCCTACGACCGGCGACATCCTTTCGCCGAGCCAAGATCTCCGTAATAAAGTATGTTTCTCCAATTCACATCTTTTATTGCCTTCCTGCTCTAAATTATGCTTTATGTTTTGAGTTAATTGAGTTCGTCAGTGCTTATGTTCAATTAGCTCTGGTAATTTCGCATTCTCACTGATGTTAAACCTCTGGTGGCGAGTCCCCTCGTATTTCTGCTTAATTTGTCTGATTAATTAGTTGTTGATGCCGAATTTGTGTTTGTTGATTTCGCCGGTATGAAGTTCAAAAATTGATGATTGCGACCTACCAATCGAAAACGCCCACAATAGAAATCCGACTTTAAGTATATTGTTGATAAAATTTGGGAAGTATAAGTGTATAACTGAGAGCATACTATAGGCATTTACATTATGTTTGCATCCACTGCCACTGGTTTGTTTTTTTGTGTTTATAAACGTGAAAGTATCTTATTGTTTTTGGCCAGCTGTTACTAGAATGTGAATTTGATTATGTAAGAGAGCGTTAATGAGTCAACTTTTAGGGATATGCTCTTAGTAAGCTTTGTAAATTCAGCTCTTGCAGATGACATGAAACTATTCATCAGTAAGAACAGATCCCAATTAAAGAACTATAAATAGATACTTGATACATGATAGTTCTATGATTTTCATAGGACAATGAAGTGATCCAGCCATCCAGGTGGTTTTGCTTCTTAACTTAAAATTTAACCTTCTAATTCATTCTTGACTGTTATTTCTACTTAAAATGATCCTATATAATTCATATAACACAAAACCCTTCTTATACGCTAGTCGATATACCTTTCACTGACAATAAAACCCTGAGTGAATTGGGAGATTAAAAGTTAGTTTCAAAGATCTACATTATATTCACTCACACTTACTGAACAGGGAAGACATAAACAACCCCTTTTTGTATGTAATATAAAAGTTTTTAGTTTATACAAAGAAACAACTAACTTTTTCTTGTGTAGGTTAATTATCATTTGAAATGGAAAACAATTCTGATAAAAGTGAAGAACTTCTCGAGGATGATGGTGGTGATCTTGACATCGACAGTAATCAAGTCTTTGGAATCGGAAACAACGATGTGGAAACGGAATCCTTATTTGGAATCGAAGGTGATGACATGGAAAACGACAATGAGTTAGTCCTCGACATCGAAACCAACGAACACGAAAACGGAAACGAACAAATCCTCGAGTTTGAAAGAAATGATCTTGAAAATGGCAACCATGATCAAGAAAACGTACCCGAACACAATTCCATTCCTCCAATCGTGGGAATGGAATTCGAGTCATATGAAGACGCTTACAAGTACTACAACTGCTACGCTAAAGAACTTGGATTTGGAATAAGGGTAAAATCGTCATGGACAAAACGTAACAGCAAAGAGAAACGAGGCGCTGTTTTATGTTGCAATTGTGAAGGGTTCAAGACTTTGAAAGAAGCAAGTACAAGAAGAAAAGAAACAAGAACAGGTTGTATGGCAATGATAAGATTGAGATTAATCGAATCAAATAGATGGAGGGTAGATGAAGTCAAACTTGAACACAATCACTTATTCGACCCCGAAAGAGCCCAAAACTCAAAGTCCCACAAAAGGGCAGAATCGGTAAAACGAAAACCAGAGCCAATCGCTGACGTGGAAGTCCAAACAATCAAGCTCTATCGAACACCAACCATGGATACAGTATGTTACGGGAGCTCAAACGAAAGAGACTTCGATAACGAATCTGGGAAAGCCAAAAGGTTAAATTTAAATAAAGGGGACACGAAAATAATCCATGATTATTTTTGTAGGGTTCAGTTAATAAACCCTAATTTCTTTTACATTATGGATTTTAGTGATGACGGGTTTTTAAAGAATGTGTTTTGGATCGATTCAAGAGCAAGAGCTTCTTACAACTACTTTGGAGACGTAATTGCCCTTGATACAACATGCTTGAAGAACAAATATAAAGTCCCTCTTGTGGTATTTGTCGGGTCAAACCACCATGGTCAAACCATTCCTCTTGGTTTTGCTTTACTCGCAGACGAAAGTCAACAAACTTACACTTGGTTGTTACGCACATGGTTGACTTGTATGGCGGGCCGCCCTCCACAAACCATAATCACCGACCAAAGTACAACGCTACAAACGGTAATCACCGAAATTTTCCCCAGGGCCCACCATCGCCTTTTTTTGCCACTTGTCATCGAATTCATTCTCGAAAATTTTGGAAATTTAGAGTTGTTTCAAACGGTGTTGAGTAACATAATCTACAATTCAATAAAAGTCGACGAGTTTGAATTAGCATGGGAAGATATGATCGACCGCTTTGCGGTCCGTGACAACGACATGCAACGAAAGTTGTTTGATGATCGAGAACGGTGGGCCCCGGTTTACTTAAAAGACACGTTCCTCGCAGGTATGTTGACTTTTCAACCGGTCGAGTCAACTGAGTCAACTGTCCCATTTTTTCACGGGTACGTCCACCAAGAAACTTCTTTGAAAGAATTTTTCGAGATGCATGATTTAGTCATCCAAAACAAGATCCAAAAGGAAGCGTTTGATGATCGCGAGTCGACTCAGTCCACCCCAAAATTAAAAACAATATGTAGATACGAGTCACAGCTCGCGAAAATATACACGAAGGAAATATTTTCGCGATTTCAATTCGAAGTTGAAATGATGTCGAATTGTTTTAGCGTATCGCAAGTCAACACGAATGGGTCAATTGTGACGTATATGATCACGGAGCAAGAATCCGGTGCGGAGGGGAACACGGTAAGGAATATGGAGGTGATGTATGATAAGATAGGAGTGGAGGTTCGATGCATATGTAGTTGTTTTAATTTTAAGGGTTATTTATGTCGACATGCGTTATTGGTTTTAAATCATAATGGGATAGAGGAAATACCGGGTCAATATGTTTTGTCAAGATGGAGGAAAGATTTTAAACGGGTTTATGTGCCGGATCTTGGGTCGGATAGTGTGGATACGGGTAACCCGGTTCAGTGGTTTGTGCAGTTGCATAAACGGGCTTTACAAGTGGTTGAGGAAGGGATGACGTCACAAGAACATTATATGGCTGCTTGGCAATCGTTTAAGGAATCATTGAATAAGGTTAGGTTAGTGGCTGATAAGAATGGTCAAAGTGGTCAAAGTTAACGAGAGGTGTATTTATAATTCTATGCATATGTCATATATGTGTGTGTATATATTTAGTCTTAATTTCATGTGGTTTTTTAGAGAATTAGAGTGCAAGGCTTCCTTTTAGGGATGTTTTTGCGATGGTTGTACAATGGAGACTTGGCCATGATGCCATTTATAATGGAAGAGTAACCCCTGTTTCTTCGTATGTTTATTTTTATGACATTTAGAACTCGTGGACAGGGAATGCTTCAAGAAGACACTAGAGTTGAAGAGAAAACCATGTAAACCACGACCAAAGAAGATGTATTTATTGTATAAGGATGATTTTGTCGATGCTTTCAAACCCCATAATCAAGATGAAAGTAAAATCAACAACACTATGCTAGACATATATTTAGAGAAATGACAGGAATGATGCGACAAACAAGAGATCCCTCTAGAGATGGAAAGGATGAGAAATCGTTTTATGCTTATAAGTAGGGATGAGCAAAAGGACCGAACCGGCCCGAACCGGACCCGACCCGGGAACCGGCTTCGGCCAAAATCAAGAACCGAACCGGCCCGGCGGTTCTACCGGTTCCCGGTTCCTACCGGTTCTTGTCGTGTCTTCAAATGTTGGAACCGGTCCTCGAAAAATAGCATCATACGGTTCCGGTTTTTGCCGGTTCTACTGGTTTTTGTCGGTTCTACCGGTTCCGGTTATATCGGTTCCGGTTCCCGGTTCCAAAAATCCACAAAAATAACGTCCCGGTTCCGGCCCGACCGGTTCCATTGGGTTCCGGTTCCGGCCGGTTTCCCGGTCCATATGCTCATCCCTACTTATGAGGGAGGAGGGAGTCATTCACTCCCAACCCACTGAACCCACTGCCACATCACTTTTTCTCTTTTATTTTTCTTCATCTTTCCGAACCCACAACACACGGAAACTCTATCTTTTTGAACCCACTCAATTAAAAAAAATATAAAACAATCAAATGTAAAATATTTATTAGTAATAGAGTTATCGGCGGTACCACTCCCGCTTCAACGAGTGGGTTGATTGGTTTCACTAACCCACTTCATCATTTCTCTCTACTTTCTCTTTCTTATTTTCTCTTGTACCATGTGTTTTAAAACTTGTATCTTAGTTGTTTTGTATTTTTTTTAGGGCATGTTTGGGTTAGCTTTTTTAGCACAAAAGTGATTTTTTAAAAAAAGTGCTTATTAGCTTATGGCTTTTAGGAAAAGCTGATTTTAAAAAGTGTTTGGATAAGAAAAACTGTTTTTTAGGAGTAAAATGACTTAAAAAGCTAATAAGCTAGGATTTTCCAGCTTTTTGAAAGCTTTACTTTTTCCTATCCAAAAAGCTGTTTTAAAAAGCGCTTTTTAAATACACAAACATTTTTTTAGCTTATTAGCTTTTTGAAAAACTAAAAAGCTAATAAGTTATTTTAAAAAGTTATCCCAAACACCCACTTAATTGAGTGGGTTGAGTGGGTTCAAAAAGATAAGATTTTCGTGTGTTGTGGGTTGGGAAAGATGAAGAAAAAGAAAAGACAAAAATTGATTTGGCAGTGGGTTCGGTGGGTTGGGAAGAAACGAGTCCCTCCTCCCTAACTAGCGATGGTTTATTAATCCAGTAAATATAAATTTACTATTAAATAGGAATCATTTTTGGAATACATATTTAGTTTAGAGGCCGTCTTCTTAAATTGAAATTCTCTTGCATAGGACGATTAATATAATTTTCTCTTACGTAGCAACCGTTACAGTAACTATGATTTATATAACGACTATTTTTGAAAAATAAATGAGTAACTGTTAAATATTTATGTAGTTTAAGGATTATTTTGTCTAACTAAAAGTTAAAACTTAAAAGGATTGACTAATTCATTTTTCAAAAAAATATTTAAATTTAGGCCATTTATGTAACCTTGTAGGGACCATTTATATTTGTGGCCGGAAGACATTCCTATGTATTTTCTTACTGACTTTTTGATTTATATTTGTTGCCGGGAACACATTTCTTGCAAATATTTTCTAGATAATAAATAAGGATTAAATTCATTTATAAATAACTAATGATGCTTCACTTGTTTCTTTTTATATTTTTTGAACGGCTATATTTTAATCGACTTTTATATATAACAATATTTTATTATTTTATGATCCAAATATGGAATATTGTAAACAAAATCGGTTCTTTGAAGATATATTTATCCTATAATGTGTTTAAATATCATAAAACCATAATATGTTATTAGTCAATTTAATGAATGAGTAAATATATTAATTTTGTGCAAATGAAATCCATATATTTTTCAATGAATTACTTTTATAAGAGTTTTTTAATAAGGTTTCCATATTAGATCTTTTATTTATTATTATTACTATTTTTTTGTGTGTGTTTAATATAGGAGGTTTTGCAAGTGTAAAAAGTTATATGAAGATTATAATAGACACAAACTAATGTAGTTTTTTTTTTTTTTTTTTGTAATTATAAAATTTTGTGTTTTTTTTTTTTTTTTGGAATTCAACCATATCTTTATGTTGAAGAAGATGCCACCATTTTTGTTAGTTATACAAATGAACATTAATTATCATTGCATGTTTCGTTCTATTCCACTTTTTTCAGTGATACTAAATTTACAAATTTTAGTCTTATTGACCAACTTGTTGTCCCATTAACCTCTTGTTCTACCATACCAAATGATCTTGTTTTGTCCAGTCTAGTTATATATGTTATGTTATAAGTATCAAACGCTAACGTAACAATCTCTATGCACTTGGAGGGTAATTTGGTTGTTCTTCAAATAAAAAATGAGCAATTCTCATTTATAAACATTAAAATGACATATGTGTATAAATAAACATTGATCATTTTCATGTGGTTAGGTCGTATTATTTGATTATATGTTGAACGCGTGCGTGTCTATCTATCTATCA